TGCCTCCTGAGTATGGTCCATTTCACATGAACTACAACACTATGAAAGATAAGTGGAATGTGAATGAACTACAATGTATGCTCATTCAAGAGGAAGCAAGGCTTAAGAAAGGAACAAATCACTCCATTAATCTCATGGGTCATCAAAGAAGAGTTGTAAAGAAATCTAGAAAGAAGAAGGGAAAGGGCAAGCAAGTACACTAAAGATTATGTGTCATCTGCCCAAATTAACAAAGAGGAATATAAAGGAATTAAGTGTCACTTTTGCAGAAAGCCCGGACACTATCAAAATGAGTGTCAAAAGCGCAAAGACTGGTTCGAAAAGAAAGGTAAACCTTGTGTTTCTGTGTGTTTCTAATCAAATTTGGCAGAAGTTCCTTATAATACCTGGTGGATTGATTCTGGTTGTATCATTCATGTTTCTAATACGATGCAGAGATTCTTTACAACCCAAATCATAAATCCAAATGAACAATTTGTCTTCATGGGAAACCGAGTCAAAGCGCCAGTTGAAGCTATTGGAAGCTATCGGTTGATTTTAGATACTGGACATCATTTAGACTTTTTTCAAACATTTTATGTCCCTTCTGTTTCTCGTAATTTGATTTTGTTGTCTAAACTTGATTCTGTTGGATACTCATTTAAATTTGGAAATGGTTGTTTCAGTTTGTTTAAACACAATCATCCAATAGGTTCTGGTATTCTTTGTGATGACTTATGCAAGCTTAAACTTGATAACTTTTTCTCTGAGAATTTGATGACTTTGCATCATAATATTGGTACTAAACGTGGTTTTATGAATGAAAGTTCAGCTTATTTGTGGCATAAACGTTTGGGTCATATATCCAAAGAAAGAATTGAAAGATTAGTAAAGAATAAAATTCTTAATGAATTAGATTTTACTGATCTTGGCATCTGTGTGAATTGTATTAAAGGAAAACACACAAATCACACACTTAACAAGCCCGCCATAAGAAGCACACAGCTCCTTGAAATTATACACACTGATATTTGTGGACATTTTGATGTTTTATCTTTTGGTGGAGAGAAATATTTTATCACCTTTATTGATAATTTTTCATGTTATGGATATGTCTACTTATTGCATCAAAAATCTCAAGCTATAGATTTATAGATGGTGTATATAACCGAGGTTGAGAGACAATTAGACAGAAAAGTAAAAATTATCAGTCTGATAGAGGCGGTGAATATTATGGAACTTACAATGAATCTGGACAATGTATAGGTCCATTTTCTAAATTCCTTCAAACTAATGGCATATGTGCTCAATACACTATGTCAGGAACACCACAACAAAAAGGTGTTGCAGAAAAGTGTTGTAGAAAGGCGAAATCGTACTCTAATGGAAATGTTTGGAGTATGATGAGTAATTCTTCTTTACCCTCATCATTGTGGATGCATACTTTGAAGATCGTTGCATATTTATTAAACAGGATTTCTAGTAAGACAGTTCCAAATACTCCTTTTGAACTGTGGACATGAAGGAAACCTAGTCTAAGGCACTTGCGTGTTTGGGGTTGCCCAGCTGAAATAAGATTATATAATCCACATGAAAAGAAATTGGACTCAAGAACAACCAATGGTTTCTTCATTGGTTATCCAGAGAAATCTAAAGGGTATATATTTTATTGTCCTAATCACAGTACAAGAATTATTGAAACTGGAAATGCCAAGTTCATTGAACATGGTGAAGTTAGTGGGAATTTGGAACCACATAAAGTGGTGATCCATGAAATTAGGGATCAAGTTCCTTTACCCAAAATTTCTTCTCAAGTTGTTATTCCCACAGTTGTTGAACAGTTTGACAACTTACAAGAACAACAAATATATGATCAAATACCCCACAATGGAACTGTCACTAATGAACCTACATTAGATGAACTACATGAAGTAGTACCTAGAAAGTTTCAACGACAAAAACGGCCTGCTATTTCTGATGATTATGTGGATTATCTTCATGAATCCGAATTTGACTTAAGAGTCAATGAATATCCAGTTTCATTTTCACAAGCCATAAAAAGTGCAAATTCTTCTAAATGGTTAGATGCAATGAAAGATGAGTTGAAATCGATGGATCACAACAAAGTCTGAGATATCGTTGAATTGTCTGAAGGTTATAAAAGGGTCGGGTGTAAATGGGTCTTTAAGACTAAGCGTGATTCGAATGACAATATTGAACGATATAAAACCAGACAAAACCAGACTCGTTGCCAAAGGTTTCACTTAGAAAAATGACATCGACTATAAAGAAACATTTTCTTCGGTTTTTAAGAAAGATTCATTTAGAATTATTGGCACTAGTAGCTCATTATGATTTGGAGTTACACCAAATGAATGTGAAAACTGCATTTCTGAATGAGAATTTAGATGAAGAGGTCAACATGAGTCAACCTGAAGGATTTTTGGTTGAAGGAAAGGGACACATGGTGTGTAAACTTAAAAAATCAATATACAGACTCAAGCAAGCTTCCCGACAATGGTTTCCTAAGTTTAATGATAACATCACGTCCTTTGGATTTAAGGAAAATATTGTTGATCGGTGTATATATCTAAAGTTCTTCGGGAGCAAAATTATATTTCTCATTCTGTATGTTGATGACATCTTACTGGCTACTAATGATCTTGACTTGTTATATGAAGCCAAGAATTTTCTCTCTAAGAACTTTGAGATGAAAGATATGAGTGAGGCAATCTATGTGATTGAAATTGAAATATTTTGTGATAGATCACAATGATTGTTAGGGCTATCTCAGAAAACATATATTGAAAGAATTCTTAAGAATTCAATATGGAAGGTTGCTCAGCAAGTGTTGCTCCAATTCAGAAAGGAGATAAATTCTGCCTTATGCAGTGTCCAAAGTATGATTTGGAGCGTAAACAAATGGAAGAAATTCCTTATGCATATATTGTTGGAAGGCTAATGTATGCTCAAACTTGTACCAGACCAAACATTAGCTTTGTTGTCGGGATGCTGGGCAGGTATCAAAGTAATCCAGGAATATATCATTGGAAAGCTGCAAAGAAAGTTTTGAGGTATTAACTAAAAAATATATATTTACCTTAATATATTAGATAATTTAATAAAATTTCCTCTTCTTAAAAACTCTTATTTATTTAGAAAATTTTGTTGGATGTGTTGATATCATAAAATCAACATTTGGCTATCTGTTTATTTTGGCTGAAGGAGCAATCTCATGGAAAAGTGTGAAGCAGACTATCACAACTGCTTCCACTATGGAAGCTGAATTTTTGGCTTGCTTCGAAGCTACAATTCAAGATTTATGGTTGCAAAATTTTATTTCAAGACTTGGAATTATCGACAGTATTGCCAAGCCGCTAAAAATTTATTGTGATAACTCGCAGCAGTCTTCTTTTCCAAGAACAACAAATATTCCAAAGGTGCTAAACACATTGAATTAAAATATATTGCCGTTAAGGAATAAGTTCAGAAACATAGGGTGTCAATTGAGCATATTAGCATCAATCTTATGATTGCAGATCCTTTGACAAAAGGGTTGTCACCGAAAACATTTAACGAACATGTCGTGAGAATGTGCATTAGCAAAATCCTTTATTAGTTTTATGCTCTTTATATTTTGACACTTTGGGCCCAATTTTCTTGTTTATAATATTTATAAATCTTGTTTTGATCGTTAGTGTACACTTTTTGTTGCATGATGTGATGTTAATTCTAATTATGCTAAATATGTAATTGATATTGTGATACATGGAAGAGACTGTGTCGATAAATTGATGCACAACCACCATGATTCATATTAATTTCATACTTATTAAATAATTTATGATTTAATCAATATAAAGAAGAATTTATCTTGCAATATGTTATGCACTATTAAAATTAAGTGAGCCAAGTGGGAGAATGTTATATTTTTATTTATGACTCACATTTATTTTAATAACTTATGAGATTTATTTTTGATAACTTAAGTTATTATTTTCTTAACTCATAACTTATGTCATAAATTATGACAACTTATGATATTTATTTTGATAATTTTAGTAATTAATTTTCTTAACTCATAACTTATGTCATAAATTATGACAACTTATGATATTTATTTTTGTAACTCATATAATCCCTAAAATAAATAAATGTTACCAACTTATGTCATTGATTTTAATAATAAAAATTAATTAATTTATTAAATTATCATAAATCCTATTGGTTAATAACCCCCTTGATGGATGGTGGTTAAATAGAGCATGAATTTGAGAATGTGCCCTCTCTCTACCTAACACACCCTGTATATTTCTCTCCATCAGAAAAGACAGAAAGTTTCAAGGGATTAGAGAGAGAAACTCAATCTCTTCATGATCAAATTTCTTCAAGATCAAATTTGTTCATCATGAATACATGTATGCGTCACTTTACTTTAGATATGTAAAAATCATGAATTTAAAAGATCTTGGCTATTATGTATTTTTTTAAAATTTGTGTCATAAAATTCAAACATGAATTTTCTAACATGCACACACCTCATTATTACAACTACAAATATATATATATATCATTAAATTTAGCTAAACGCAATTTAATTGAGGGGATGGATGCTGTCATTTCGGAAGATTATTATTAGTTCTGATCAATGATATAATTAAAATTTGATATTTCTTATCACTGTTATTATTTTCAAGCTTGATTGTGCCATGACATCACAACCGTTTGTCCGGCTAGCATCAATAATGTATCCTCGATCTTAAATTCATTTATACCATCGTTAATTTCAGAAATAATTGCATACAGTTTTGAAACACCTGCAATCATAGCCTATGTTTCATTGATTTGGTCTATGATATGGACTGTCAGAGTCTTTGTTAACAGTATAATTTTGTACCAGTACTTACACTAAATCATTGATGTGGCCTCATATAAATATGAATGTTTACACTACATAAGTTGAAGAGGTTAGATAAATATATATAAATGTTTTTGTGATATGATCCTCATTTTCCCTGAAAATAACATTTACAACTTATTTCCTTAATTAAATAATCATAATAAAACATTGGAATTAGATGGATAGATTTGCTTGATCTACTCCATAGATACTGATCACAATGTCATAACAAGCAGAAAATCAAATTTTAGCATCTGCCGTAAAACTGGAACAAGTACTTAATCATGCAACAAAAGAAAAAAAGAAAGTTAGCTACTCCATCTATACTCAAATGAGGTCTGCCTGATATGTAGCAAAAATCTTGGTCAATTCTCATATTCCCTAGCATCCATGTTAGCTGCAAAATTTCAAAATAAAAAATAATATTAATAGTATTTAATAATTAATTAATCAACTTATATGAGCTGAGTTAATTCCTGAAAAAAAAAAAGAAAATAAATTAATTTTAATTAAATTGTTAAATTGTCAAGTTGGTTCTAGAAATTTACCTGGTGATTTTGGGTTTGGCACAATATGCAGCCTTCTTACTGAAGTAAGGAACATTCTGCACATTTTCAATTTTTTAACAATTAAAATAATAATGCTTTTTTTTAATTTGTATATATATATGTCATATTTTCTAACAGTCTTAGAAAAGATGAAAGCTATCTAATAGCACAAATAAAATTTTTTAAAATATAATCATTTTCTATAATCATTCATTATTTTAAGATATTATGAAAATGAATTCAATGCATCAATTGAATAAATAAAATTACTATTACCATGAAATTGAAGTTTATAAAACATTTAGGCACAACAATGATTTAATTAGAAAAGCTTACTCCCATGGCACATCACCAACAAGCATTCGATCTCCTTCATGGTCTTCATAAAGAAGAAGATATTCACGATTAAAAGTTTCCCCAATATGTTCTTCAGAAATTGGGTAATCAACTGCAAGAACAGTAAAATTTAATATATATTTATATATATATATATTAATAATCATAGGAAAAAAAAATGAAAAAAACTTGAAATGTTAACTAAATGAATTAATTTAGTATTTTACTCACGACAGATGACATTTTTGAACATTATTCTGAGTGAATGGGAGAGTGAATCATAGGAAGAATGAGCCCTAAGATCAATCTTCCTTCCTACAGGATATCCTTCCATTTTCACCTTCACAAACATCGCAATGTTCTTTGTCTCCTCAGCTGATAAGCCATTGAAAGCTTCTCCCTCACCAATCTTTGCCCTCTTAGCTTCCCTCTCCTCTTCTATCTCAGGCCTCGCCGCCTGAGAACTCGCCATATTCCGGCGAAACGCACAGACCGGCGGCCAGCCGACAACAGACGGAGAGGGTGGCAATGTGGCATACTAAGGTTAATTATATATAAAAAACAAAAATTAAAGATTATATGGATAGTGTAACGGTAAGAAAGTTGAGATTTGAAATCTCTTAACAGTTATGTATATGATTGATGGTAAATAATTGGAGTTCCAGTGGATTTTGCACCGTTGGGCAAAAAAAATGCACCTATAATTGGCATTTAATATAGGATCAAGTTGAATTATTTGCGACTGAATTTCATTGTAACGGTTAGTTAAAGAGGAAAAATCTTATAAGATATTGGTTTTAAGGGGTTATGGATGAAATTTGCATATAAATAGTGTTTAATGTAAGAGATATAAACATGATGAATTTCTTGTGAATGAATTTTGTTGTATTGGTGAGAAATTTAAGTTTGAAGATCTGTGAATGATTGTGCAAATGATGGATGCTCATGATTTAGAGATTGAATGGATTTTGTACAATATAGGACAAAAATGTAAGATATATAGCATTTAATATAGGTTCGAGTTGAATTATTTGTAAATAAATTGTATAAACATGATGGATATTCGTTGTTTAGACTTTGAATGAATGTTGTATTATTTGTGACTAAAGCATACATATATGAAATTTAATGTAGGATGTATGAGTCTAGAATGAGAAGATTTGAATAGAGAACTACGAGAAGGTGCTATACGTCTGGAAAGTGTAGTAGGCCTATGAGCCTAATTGTAAAATATGGGCTTTAAAACTGTCAAATTCTAAGGCGGCTTTAATGGATTTCCTTTTTCATTTTTTTTTCTTTTACAAATAAATAAAATTGATAAATAGCTTATCATTCCATTAAAACATACTTATATTCGTTTCTATAACTATTTAATGCATTTCAAAGTAGATGATCATATGTTTTACATTACCTTCTATGTTTTGTAGATAATATATAAGAATATTAAAAGGTATACTTAGAATATCATTTTTTCTAATAGATTATAATATATAGATATTCAAGATTAAAATATTTTGTTTAATATATATTAGTAAACTATATTAAAATATCAACTAGGATTCAATTTTGTTTGATGAGTTTAATTGAACTAAGGTAGAAAATTAGAATTTTTGACCTTTGTAGCTCCTAAGGCTGGTAACAATGTATGAAATTTTAAATTCATAAGCTCTCTCTCTCTCTTTCTCTCTCTCTATCTCTAAATACAATTTAAATAATTTAATAAAATTAATGTATCTAATTAGAATCATCTAAATATGACTAATCATTTTTATTAGACTTAAATTTAAATTGATTAGCTCAAGTTCAAATCATAATCACTCATCACAACTAGGCTTGGACAAATTAATTGATTTTTAAAAAAAGAAAATCTGTTGACAGCAGTAATTTTCTACATTCCCACAACAATGAAGCATGAAAATAATCTTTGGCTTGTGTCCGGTGGTCCCTCGGACCACGAAGAGCACACTCAACAATCAGTTGCGCGCCCCCCACACCTTTCTCATCAGACCGGCATCATTTCCGTCGCCTCTTTTTATATTAAAATCAAACAAAAGTTACCACGCTCTCTTTATCATTACAAAGCAATTATTAAATGAAAAATGTTTACTAAAAAACTGAGGGACCAAAGTATCAATGTATTGTAACTAAGGGTCTGTTTGGGGCAGTTTATAAGTGCGGGCAGCGTTTTTAAAATGTAGCCGTACTGTTTGGTTCTCCCGTTTAGCCAGGTTATCGGAAATTGCGTTTGAGTTTTTACACTAAACACAGGCCGCGGGTCGACTCCCGCGGCCGGCCCGCGGACCGCGTTTCAGGATAAGTAACTTATCTTGAAACGCACAAGCTGCCCCAAACAAACCCTAAGTCTTAATCTATGACTCCTAATAATGATTTAACATTTTTTATCAACTTATAGCCCACACTCATGCAGTTAATAATTCTGTGCTAATTGTTTGGCAATTCATACTTCATTATATGTATTCTTCCCACAATAATTTAAAAAAAAACTAAAATACAATTGAGTTATTTTTTTAAATATTTTATTATTGAGTTACTTGAAAAAATCGAAAATATATAATTTTTAATTAAATTCATGTGATTTAGTTAATTTAATCTACACATTTAGATAATTATTTAGTTTTTATATTTTATTTATACTCTAAATAATATACAAAATTTTCTAGTGCCCATATTTTATATATATATATATATATTCTATCGAGAGAGTGCAATACTACTCTATTTGCATTTAGTGGATGTAATATCGCCTCATTATCATGAGCAAATACAATCTTAGGAGTGCCATATTATTGAATTTTTTGACTCGTGCAAATGGAGCGAACATTAATTGACCCTCTCTTAATAGACGAGATTAAAGGTGGAATGAACATTATGATTTCAATCTAATGAAAATTAATTTAACAAAAATTAAATTTATTTTAAATCAAATCAAATATAGTATTCATCAGATTATAAGATTTATTATAACTAAAATTTGGTTCTGAACATATCTAACATAACTCTTTTGCTGTCAAATGTAACCGGCCACATGCACGTTGCCATGCATACCACATTTATATGCGGCTGTGATTAGCATCCATTTCTTTTCCATAGAGTAGCTCACAGAATTACATGGAAATACAATTTGCTTGGAATATCTCGTTCAAAAAATTGTATAAAAATTAAAATTTTAGCCATATGCTGCATGATTATTTCTTTTTTAACATATTAAGAATTATTACTTTATGCAAATTAAGCTTTACAAACACCTATTTGAAAAGAGCATACTTAATCACACTTTTTTTATAGCTCAGGCAACGGACACCTTCTGCCACAATTTTTAATAGCAAATTATTCCTAAAATACAGCTATTAATTACAAGTTCAGAAAATTTAATCATTATATTTCATTAATTCATAACGAATACCGCATAATTAACAAGTATTCGACACTAAAAATATGAACTATGAGTGCATTTAATCACACTATAAAAGTGATTTATACAATGATAAATCATCACATAATTTAGGAACCTGAGAACATATTCAGAGCAAAAGTCTAAAAATGACTTGTGCAAATTGATAAAACAATCCTCTTCTAGTTTTCTATCTTACAGTAACTTTATTATTTTACTTAATTTTTCTATTTTGGTTATCATGCAACTATGAAAATACGTCAACTGAATCATATACAACATTTTTTGCATGTATAAGATCAATCCCACAATAAGAAACAGCTAATTTAAATTCATTAAACAGATTAATTCTATGTATTAAGAAGAAGTATTACCTCCGAAGACCATGAGAAGGAGAAGTGGAAGAAGGATTTGTGGTCTTCTTATGAGCCTGCTCAAGAACAGCCTTCTGCTGCCTAGCCGCGAGGCTCCACGGGTCAATGAACCCATTGGGCGGGTCAGAGAAAAGCCAGGCCTCCTGCCCATTTATACTCTTCGGGCCATGTACACTTATAAATTTGTTCATAAGCAGCCCAATATCAGTACATGCTGACAACCCCATTCTCTCTCTCAACATACTGCTGCTGTTGCTGGATGAAACGCCCAGTCTGAGCTCAAGATTGTTCTGAAAACCAATCTTGTTGAATTCTTTGGCTTTGATTTTTTCTTCTTCTTCAACTTTATCTTCTTTGGTTGGATCTTGGTGTTGTGAGTGATTCATTGAGAGAGAGAGAGAGAGAGAGAGAGAGAAGGCTTATGGGAGAGGGGGCTAAGAATATATGAGAATTTATGCACAATCAGTCAAGGAATTATATTTGGTTGATGTGACGGTGTGGACAATGATGATTTTGTCCTTTCGTATAAGAATTTTGGTGGCACGAACGAGGAGGGAGACAATGAAAAAAGTGGGTGGGGGGAGTAAAGCAAGTGGTTGGGGCCCCACTCTCCCCCACAGAATAATCAAACCAACATCAAAATGTATGCGCAAGACGGTGGAGAAATGAACAAACTATTGATACGCACCTAGAGTTATGTATGGTGTTCAATGATATCACGTCACGTGGTGATAATAGAGAATAAAATAAAATCTGTTCGATAACACAAAAGAATATTTCTCCTGTATTATTCAAGTGTTATTATGTGTGTTATTCAAGTATTTTTAATGTGTTATTGTGTTATTATAACACCGAAAATATTCTCAGAAACAATAACATTTGAATAACATGAAATAACACGGGGAGAATATTTTCTGTGTTATTGGGCCGATTTTTTTTCCTGTCACCTCCACGTGATGTAATTTCATTGGACTCCGCACGTAACTTTACATGCGGAGTCTTAATGCAATATTTTTTTTAGAATAAATGAGAACAAAAATCTAAGAAAAATGTACAGAAATAAAATCAAAACACGACAAAATATCAAACCAAATATGCTAAACAACATAGGAGTGCCAATTGAAGAGTAAGAAGTTTGAAATGCCTGCTATCCATGGCATATATTTCAGTGATAAAATTGGTTTCTGAGCGACAGGAAATTTAGCTTTCACAGCAATGGTAATGATGGAGGTTGAATTATCATTGAATGGTCTTTCATTGCTTTGCACCAAATCATGTAAATTGGAAGTTGCGACCTTTTAATGATATTACGGCTGAAATAAGCTGAGGCTTGTTGCAAAGTTCGTTGAAAGATAAAATAGTTCTCAGAAGCTAACGAATTTCTAATCAATCACAGAAAATGGGAGGTGAAGTAAGGTGTGAATGACTCTCCAACGATTCATCGCAAAGTTAGCATAGAGAAGCTGCATAAAAATTTTTCACTTTTCGCTACGGAAAACAGTTAAATAGTGTTAGACATTTGCTTCAGAACTTATCCGACGGAAATATTTGCGTTTGATTTATGGTGAGCTTTATTAATGATGAAGTTTGCATCGTTGTATGCCAGCGCAATGGCTTTGCGTCGTAGTGAAGACATTATTCATCAATATCTTTGTCACATAATAGTGGGGGAATTTGTGGATCCTAAAGTCGATGCAGATTACGTAGCATCGGAGTGGGCCGACACAAACTCGACGCCTAGGCATTTAAATGTAAATTGGCACCACTCGACTCAAAAATACTCACCACTGTTATATTATTTTATTCAGAAATAGCTCTCCCCTGATCGTCCAAAGATCTCGTGACCTCTGCTCTCTGGCGGCCGATCAACAACCTCACGACTCCGAAAAATCTTCTATTTAAATGTTTCTACAAGGTAATTTTTTTCCCCGCTTTTTTGTCAATTCCTTTGTCTTTTTTTGCCAAATTAATCATTTCATTTAAGTTTATGTAGTAGAGTTTAACTATGCCTTACGAGGTCTTTAGTTGAAAGTAGGAATTAGTAAACCCGAAAAATAGTAAATTCATTAAATTCGATCCACTCTCTCTGTGGATTTAATAAAGCCAGATTTAAGCTGAATCGATGAAAAAGTTTTTAGTCCTTAACTACCACAATTCATAAATCCAGAGAACTCTTGCATTTTTTAATTTGGTTAGGGAGTGTTGGGTAAATTCATTTGTATTTATGTTTGTGTGTCTCTGTGTGTGCGTGTGTGCATTTTCTTGTGTGCATATTTGCTTGTATTTGTGTTTGTGTCTATCACCCCTCAAACTGTAGCAACAACTTCAGGTTGTTTTTGGCCCCTTGGCGCCCAGAGGATGGTGCCTAGGCATCAGGCTCTCGGCTTTCTATGAAATGAACGGGCACCTAAGCTCTCAAGGGTCTGGCACATAAGTGCCAATCTTGCGAGTTGGAGAGACAGAGACTGCCGCCTAGGCTCCCAAGGGCATGGCGCCTAGGCACCAGTGCTACTTTGTAGCATTCAGCTCCAAGTCCTCTACTAGTTTCCCCACTTCAATTACCTGCAAGATAAACACTAAAATATCTTTCTTAAAGTGGAGTTTCATCAATAGAAATGCATAAAAAAATCCCAAATTTTGGTGAACTTTTTCATGCATCAAACCACTAACATTTCCTTTTGAAAAGTAGTGATGAAGGCCTACAGGGTCTTGCTTTGTCACTACCAAAGCTGTAGGAGAGTCTGCAAGCTCTTCTAAGGTGTATATGCACTTGCAAACAGTGTGAAAAATATTTGTTTGAATAGGGTTTCGCTGCTTTAGATAATCTATTGCACCACATGAGAGACAAGTCCTTCAGCATGGTGAAAAAGAGTCAACACTTTAGCGTGTAGTTGATATGAGCAGACATACAGTCGACCAAAGGATGTACTGTGGTCAACCGAGTCTGCTCGTTCCTTGTAAGATTAAACCATCAAAATTATAAATCATTCTAGTGGCTTGACATTGAAGATATGCTGAGAGAATGTATTCTGTAACTAGTGTGACATATAAGTATGTTTGACTCAATGTCAATCAATTGGTGCTTAACAACATTATCAAGGTACTGGGTATTGGCTTTTCATTCTAAAGCTCTATTATTAAGTGTCGAAACATTCTATCAGGGTTGTTGATACTGATCTCAATTTAGCGCACCTCTGATCACTTCTAGCATATGATCCTGCAGATGTTGGATCTGTTGGACCAAAAGTTCTCTGATGTACCCCACATTGTTATCAGTATCCATTTTGTGAGGTTTTTCTCCTTGTATGGCTCCTTCTCTTTTTGGTAACTGTTGACCTCATTTTTTATGAGGTTTAGTTTCTCCTCTTTAGAAGCCTAGAATCTATCCGTAGGACTTTCATGTTGACTATCCTAGATGACTAGTGATGGAACTCTTCTACATTAAAGTTCTAAACACTTCTTGACTCATCTTGTTAAGTCTCACATGGGTGAGCCTAATCCCTCATTTCCCACTTGAGATGGTTAAGACCAACATGTAAAGACTCAAGGGTGAGTTCCAATAGGATTAGTGAAAACTTAGGACAACCTTAGGTAGCTTGGTATTGGTTACACACACACTTAAAGCCAAAAATTACTCAGACTTAACCTACCTTTGAGCTCCCTTTTGGGAACTCATATGGGTGGTCCCCAATCTTTAGGCTTTGGCTAGGATAGCCATGACCAAAATGTATAGGATCTAAAATGAGCTCTCCCATGTGTCTTATAACCTCAAAAGGGTTTCCATGGTTTGCATTGTCACCATGTCCAATCAATTCCAATTCCATTAAAATACACAACCTTGGCCTCTTACCCCCGAATTTTCCTATAATTACCAAAATGCCGTTGAACCCTAATATTCAAAAAATCACCCAAACTCCCAATTCTTCACCATAAAATATATTGAACCACTTCAAATTAACCCAATTTCCTAAATTCACCTTAAAATCTTCAAATTTACCAAAATACCACCCCCCCACAACACCCAAAATTACCATAATGCCCCAAATTTCAAAAAATTACCAAAATCATTCAAAAAATCACCAAGACCAATTCTAACCACCTAATGTTTCTAATTGCACCAAAAATCCCCCAAATCTACCAAAATTGGCCAAGATTCCCAAATTACCCCTAAATTCCTGAAGTCCCCAAATCTCTCCTAATTTCCGCCAATTTCATTTCAAACTCACCCAATCTCAAATCTAAATTAAATATCATTATATCCAATCCCAATTTAACCCAAATTCAAGCCCAATTCCACCCAATTCCAAACCTAAAATCTAAGCCCAATTCAACTACCCCAAATTGACCCCAAAGCCAAATTTCGCCTAATTAAGCCACATAACCAATCCAATTCCAAAAAAATTGTTTTCCAAACTCATCAAGTCATTTTTCAAGACCAATTTGAACCTTCAATTAAGTTGGATCCAAGCCCAAGCCAAGCTCAAATCCAAATTCAAGACCAAACCCAACTTTTAGCCTAAGCCCAAAATTTGATCCAAATCCTTCGATTTAATCAAATGCTTAGTTACCATAGAAATGTATTAAGCCCTAAGATGCTAATCACATCATCTAACCAACCCTACTTGATGCCATGTATCAATGGTCCCTTAAAATGTGGAAACCCCTCCTTAGTTTGGCTAACTCCCTTATCCATGCAATGAGCTGGCTTAGCTTCAATGCTAATCGCCATTAAAACTCCTCTGACCTTGCTAAGCCAGCTAGCCACCACCTAAGGACTGGCCGACAGTCCCAGTGGCTGAAAAACCAAAAACTGAGAAGGGTGGCCGGCTCAAAGCCAAATTCTCACCTATCCTATGTGGCAATTCCCAATTGGTTAATTGTGATGTTCTCCCTTCCACCTCAGGTTATGTGCAAAGGCCAATGACAATCCAAAGCCCTCCCCTTGGCCGAAATTATAAATAGCCCCCTCTACGACCAAAACTGGAGATCATCCAAAAACCTATGGGAAACTCTATCCAATTGCTCTCAGAGCCCCTCTCAGCATTCCTAAGCTTAATCTAACCATCTTTAGGCACTCATTCCCTCCACCCGAGCTCAATTTAACCAATAAAATTCAGGGCTTTTTTTGGACAATTCACCAAACTTTTCAAAACTCCAAATTGATCATTCCACAAGCTTCCCCAGACCTCAAAACCACTTCCCCAATCAAAAGCTCTCTCTGTCGAGCACTCTAACATAGTTATAAACTATGATCGAGTCATCCTCCGATTGAAATCATGCATAGACCTTACCTCAGCTCCAACCAACACTTCAAGGATGTTCGTGAACTCAAGGCAAAGCTCGAGATAACCCCCAATCAAGGCTCACCTCTTGGGCTAAGGTATAA